CGTGTAAGTAGACACGAGATGTCCTTAAGAAAGAAGGGCCTAAACAACAATAACGAAACAAAAAAAATGTCACATCCTAGTTTTAGATTAAACATCAAGGAGTTTTCAATAATAGGGAAAATTAGCTTGCTTATATTCACATAGTGAATGCGATGTCTTTATTCGACCTTTAGTGGTCCACGTATAGTGGTATAGTGAGAAGCACGCGGAAAGTAACTGTCAGGTGTGACAAAGGTATGATATGCGTGACATTTTGCGGACGCTACATGTACAAGTACGTGATGTGTTTGGGGGTCACAAATGTTTTTCGGGGACTTGCAAAAAGATCTTCACTTTAGGCTGTCTACGAAGTATCGCTGGACATAATAAAAAACATTCGAGTTCAGTTGCAAACCCAACACTATCGTGAATCGTAACGATTGAATAAGGCATGCTTACAAAACATTACATTTTCAAGAATTCAAGCAGGAGATCCTCAGATATGAAGCTCCACAATAGATCTACAAGTTATATTTCCCTCTGCATGCATAATGTTGTATATAGTTTATAAATAATACTGGAATTGTAATATAGCCTATTTTATTTTATTTTAGCTTATTTTCTCGAAGATATTAGCTCTACAGCTACACTGTGAATTTCGAGCATAACTAATGTATATATGCCAAGATTAGCCCAAGCTGTACGCGGGTTGTGTTAATTGTAATACTAGAATCTGTGTCGTATTTAAGTAGTAAGAAAAAGTGATTAGGTTCCCGACTGATTCCAGACTGATGAAATTTCCGGTGTCTCTGTTTAGTAGAAGGGGTAATCCTTATCTCGGTTCAAGGTGAAGTGCTTACACAACTGAACTTCTGATCATCACATGCACATCATATCCTCTTTGATTTAATCGCTCGGCGTAAATGAGGAATGGGGCCATGATTCCATGTTTTTTTGCTTGTTTGTTTTTACTTTGTTTACCTTCTTTCTCTCTTTCCTTCTTCCTTTTTTTTTTTCCCTTTTGTTTATTTTTTATTTTTTTTTTTACTGATGTTTCCGCAAATAAAATAAAACAGATAAACTCTTCGTTAAAACCTAGCTAAGATGTCTTATAGCTTTAACTTTCTACTCCAATACAAAAACTCTCGAGCACAGATGCTCCCATACTCTTGGGTATAGAAACTCTCGAGCGCAGATGGTCCCATACTGTGAGGCACAATTGGTCCATAGATATTGGGCACCGATAGCCCTCGACTCAAATGAAAGGAAGCCAAGGCACATTACAGGGACAACTGGTCCTATGCAAAGCTTCTATAGGATAATGTGTCCCTGTAGGACACAAATTAATAACGCAAGGAACGTGCACTCACACATGGATAAGACATATTGTGTATCCATTAAATACCTGTGAGTAAATGACTATCTCCAGGGCGAAAGTACACCAAGAGTAATAATCAACCTTCTTTAAATTCCCTCACCAAATGCCTTGATAGTTTGTACGTTTTCCACTTATTTTTCAAAAACGCGGAAAAAGTCATAATTACAATCCACACGGTGATGACTGTTTTTCGCTGAATCACTGGGTAAATGAAGAGTCATCGTAGGCTTGCCACAACATCTCGTTTCCCCTTGGCTTAGTTGAGTTCTGTTTCATAATGGAATAGAAAGATTAATAAAGTACAGCAAAAGCAGTTAGAGTGAGATTATTTATTTTGGGAGGATCAAAGTCACTTTATGAAATACACATGAATTGATTTTTGTTGAACTCAAAATATCTTTGTGTTCGAACCTCGCCTCTTGAATCTCTGATTTTGAGGCCTGAATAAAGGGTCAGGGATGAAGGTACTGAGATCGGTGGTTGTGATCACAGTAAATGACAATAGATCAAACAAAATATAGCGAGTTCGAAGGAAAATCACAGCACCTGCAAGTGCTATGACACAAGTTCCCATTTAACCGAAAAAAATTAAATCACTTCCAGCCAGTGAATAATGACTGGAAATACATGAAAATCACATATGTGTACTGCGGTGAAGAAATGAGATATAAGCGATCCTCGCAGCTATGAACACTACTGAACTAGTAGTTGAAATGAGACCTGAAAAAAATTCAGGCCCGTTGGGGATTTGAACACTTTCGATCGGTTTTACCTTCAAAACTACTGCCTGTTGTTGGAGATGTGATCGTTTCCGGAAACCCCTTTTCATTCGTTCCAATTTCGCTCGTGATATCCCATTCCGCAATGTTTCTTTCAATTGCGACAGCGGTTGAAAAAGGGTTCATCGGATTCTACGGCGAACTCGTAATTCAAAAAGCCCCTGCCATGGCGTCAGCGTTTAGTCTTTTTAATTCAATTGTCTAAAACGAAAGCAAGGAGTGCAGTCTTACCGCCCATTTTAGGGATCCACTGTTACGCTTACAAATATTGATCAATTTTTTGGAACTTTTAACGGTCATGTATGGTAAGTCAATTGAAGCAATATTGAAGTCCGTATCATTTACTTTTCATTTAGCCCCTATTTAACATTATTTAAAACTTTTACATTGCTATTCAACTCTAGAGGAAAGCCTAGATGAGGGTTTTCCTTTTGACAACTATTTTGTACGGCTCCCAATTAAAATCTCTGATGTCTCAGAGAAAAGCATAAAAAATCTCGCCCGCAACAATAAAAAGAAGTCGGTAAGCGTCTCTACTTGTAACCCTTATTATTGAATGCAGAATTGTCTAAAGAGGATGAATAAGGGTTGATACGCTTAGGGACAGGTTGTAGAATTTTAGTTGAATATGAGTTGAACATTTGAAAGAGAGTTTGGATTGGGCTTGAATAAGATTGAATACTTGGATGATGAGTTGAAATGAAATTAAAAATTGGTTGAATAGTTGAATGTAAGTTGGACTAAAGTTGAATAAAATGACGAATAGTTGAATAAGATGAGGCACTGAATAATACTACCGTGGACATTCGACGTGCAGCAGTCAATTGGTTTTCGAACTATAAATTTTATGGACCATCAGTAGACCCCTCACACGAGGAAAGTTTTTTTCCTATGGTGGCTGGGTCAGTTGAAGGTGCATGTTTTTAGTGTTACCCCAAAAGGTATCTAAAAGCGCCGTTTTGAAGGAAACCGGCGAGTAGTGCGTTACAAATGTTAATGAAAGTTACTTTCAAATGTAAATTCTTGCTTTACAGATAGATTCCTTTTTAACATAATTATTAAAAAACGTTGCTCTTCAAGCTACGTGAATATTGATGCGGAGAGGATACAAGTTATATGTATTATACATTCTCATGAGTAAAATTAACCACTACTTCAATAATTCTTTCAAAATTCGTTGAAAAGGTGGGTAGAGTTTGCTCCGTAAAATTGGATAAAGATAGAACAAACTTTCCTTTCTAACTCTTTAGAACCGGATGAGCAAAGATTACGTCTAGCAGGTTTAAAGATGTCAATAGGCAATGGGAGCTACAGGCTATTTAGTCAGTTTATAAGTTAATATTAATTCCTTGTACGGTTTCCTCAGTTCTGCTGCTGGACAGTGTAGATTACAGAAACCTGCTTTAATATGTTTGCAAGCGTAGATATTCTCGCTGCAGCATCGTGGACTTCTGAAAATAATTCTATAAGGTAACCAAGTCGCACACATAAATCGACTCACAAAAGTATAGCCAAGATTATATTTAGTAACTATTCAGTGGCTAGTGGTCGATATTTGCCTCGCCGCCTCGCCGCTCGGTAAATATCCACCACTGACCAAGAACACTGAGGTGAAAAGTTGTTTTATATTATAAATGCTAAAACAGTGAGATAATATCGCACATAAATATGATTTTAACTCATTTATTTCAGTAACGATTACACTATTTTCGTGCGCAAATCCCAAATCCCACAAATTGCAAAGGATAGTCAATCAGAGCGCGCCTTCAACACTGTCCACCGTTTTAATATATACTAAAAGTGTGTGAGCCAGGCAGTCTGCAGGCTGTCAATAATGATACATCTTGATTCGACTGAAATTCCCTTCATGACGCGGATCTGACTTACAAGCAACATGCTGTTCCATAAATAGAAATGAATCCATTACTCCATATTTCTTCAGTCTGCTGGTGGCTTTGGTTTCCATCTTATTTACTTTATATTTGAGAGGATCTGTGGTCACTTATTTCATGAAAACTTGCGTCGACGGCTACTTTCTGATAGCATAGTCATGCAACCGCGGCAACAAATAGGCGGAAGCAGGCGAAGACCGAATAGGCGGCGACAGCGTCATCTTTCTTCTTCAAACTGGTTCTGTGCGATACGAAGAAAGTCGTCAGCCTGTGAGCTGACGGTCTGTGTACATTTTACAAGCATGTTTCGTCATGTTCTACTCGCTCCACTATTCGTTCCACTACACTGATTCACTAAGATGATACTTAGGTTGTATTCGAAATTATCTTTCATTACAGGAGATAAATACAATTTAGCAGAGTCCATCCCAGGTAACTGAAATGAGTTCTCATACAGTTTTTTTTCCGTCCCCCTCGTGGCAACGCCAGGAGATTTTCGAACGTGATTCAGAGCAGAAGTCACATATCACAGTTCGCCATCCTTTGTGATATGCCTGAATTGATAACAATGTGGTTACAATGTTACCAGCACGCAAGCCAGGTTGGGAAATAATTCAAAGCTAAAGTAACTCTCCATCGTGTACTCATAGATAGAACAAACAAATTCAGGGTAAATTTAAATCGGCGGAAATGAACTCTTTATGAGCACAGCTGATTTATTGCTGCCGTAAGAAAAGGTGATAATGGATAAGTTTTGTTTTCGTGTCACTGGTTTCCCACAAAATGTAATTTTCCTATTGGCGGTGTTTTCTGATGCTAATTAGAATGCTACCATGTTGAACGTTTTCTCTTTTCAATGTCTGCGGTTTTCGCACACGGTATTGGTAAATTAAGAATGACTACCAAACAAAACTCCCACAATATGTTGGTTTTCGCATAATGACAGTTTGCACATTTTATCTCCAGGTGAAAGACAGAAGTTGATTTGTAGAAACCGCCCTTGATAATTGATCGCAGCGACAGGTGTAATGCGAAACGGTAGCGGGGGAATTAATCTGTTTGAGCGAGGGTATAAAAGCCGTGAAAAGAAAACTATTTAAAAGCAGTTCGGAAAAAAATCGCCTACATCAGAACAAGTGCTAGTCAGCCAACAGAACCAACACAAAGAAACTAACGAAGGTAAGTTGTAAGAGTTGATTTAAACGCTTTCTTGTGAAATTGTAATTACACTAGAATTTTTTCAGCTAATGATCATGGTCGACAGAGAGCAAGCCGAGTTGATCGCACTTTGATTCTTTCGAAACCCATTAGGTGTATTATGATTATGTTAGACGTTAACACAAAGGCTGCAAAGTTGAGGGATTTGAATAGCAGAGGTCATGTCCAAATCGTTCTAGAGTGTCTAGTTTTCTAGTGTCTCGTAATTCATTTGATGCATCCTTGATTTCCAACAATGTAAAATGTCCTAAAACTTTGCTCGTTGATAAAAAGAAGGCAGTTTAGAAGAATACTGTTAGCGGTTTCCTGTCAGGAGACAAAAACTGAAAGATGAAATCTTTTTGTTGCTCAAGTACAGGCTCATTTTTATAAGCAAGACGTCTTCGCAGTGAAACGATCATACGAAAATCTTGATGATAAGGGAACGTGTGCATCTTTAAAGAAGCAGTCAAGTCTCTCTTTCTGTATGTTAAAAGGGTAAATTACGAGTAGCCCGATGTCTTCGTAGTTGGTTTTCGATACAGTACATGTGCAAAAATAAGTTGGAATATTTCGACGAGAAACCTTATTGTCACCAGAAAGCCACGGTTCCGTCGACCAGGCAATAGTTATTTCAATTATTGTGCGACTTACATTCGGATTTAATTATTCTACTTGTGTAAAGAACGTATTAGTAGGAAATTGTCTGTTTTATATCAAATTAGAAAGCGGAAGGTTAGCTTAACTTAGAGCTATGTACATATATCAGGCCGGCCTCCTGTTCCGGAGGCATTTGAGATTCTTTGACGAAAGGAGTGCTCCATAAAAATGATTTTAGAACTGACGATAACGTAACTAACATTGCTAAAAAAAAATTGAACTTACCAAACGAAATTTTTTGTCTTCGTTATGATAATTCATACAATGGAACATCTTGATGTGACCATGAAAACAGATGTTGAATTAAAAATTAGGAGAAAATCCGAATGTTAGTTTTGGCAAATTGTTGACATGATTTCCACTTTTCTTCAAACACTATCAACTACCTTGTCCGTTCAACGCTTTTTAATTAAAATAAAGTTTTTTGATTGACATATTTGTGGGGAAACGCCTATCTTCAAATGTAAGACTGATCTTACGTTAAAATTGAACGTTGGAAATATTGTAAGGTGAAAACAGGAAGTACTGTGTAATTAACAGTCCCATGTTTATACAATACCGCAGTTAAGGATTGTGTGTGATTGGCGGAAAGCCGCCACACACTCTGCGATGGTTCTATCTTTCCGGGCTATGTTTAACATTATTCATGCAAACACTCTAATTACAATATTAAAATACGGTATAAAAATGCGAAGCGGATGCATTCATCAAGCCGTGTTTTTAATTAGGACGTATTATTTGGGTGATAAGTTCTTGTTAAGATAACGAAAGGAACTGTTGCTTCTAAACTTAACAACTCCCCTGTTCTCGCTACATAATGATAAAAAAAAGGTTACTCGCTTGATTTTTTATCGCCTGGACCAACAGTGAAAGAGGTATAGGTCTTTTTGTAGTACTGGTGTTCGTGTTCGATAAGATAACCGCAAACAGTGTGGCCTAATATTACACAGCATACCCAAAGTGGCTTACTTCGGCAAGACCAAGAGAATATCGACAGTTGATATTCTCTCGGCAGGACCAAGATCATTCTCTCAACCGCAGGGGCTGAGGGGCTGAGTTTGAATTCGCTTTTTTCAATCAGCAGGGGTCCTGAATGGCAGCCCTTCTGTGTAAATAGAGTGATCATGGGTACCTTTGTAATGCTCTCTATCTAATTTCCTCTTCCCCTCTCTTCCTAATGAGGAAATGGCGGTTCCCGCAAAACAAATTAATCTGCATATCCCTTCGTCAAACAATAACCTCTGTTTTCTTTCCTTTGATTCAGATTTCAGAGCGAGTAAACTATTCGATGTGTGGCGTGTGTACAAGTGGTTAAGCATTGATCATATGCCAAAATTGTTTTTCTCTTTCTGAAAACCTCTAAAACATGACAAAATTCCAAAAAGATTACAGACAACCTTTAATACTTCGTACCACAGTTCGTTTGAAGTGAACCTTAGTCAAATTCTTGTTTGCGACGTTTGCAGGGAACACTTTTCGGTCCCTACTCGTGCGTCACGATCTATTCTTTGAACTATCTGATATAACAATAAGATCATCCGTCAGTGTTGTACACCTGGACAAAAACAAGTCTTAGCTCATTGCTCGCTCAAAAATAGGACATCCAGATCGTGGAGAATGTAAGGTTAGATAATAAAGAAGCACTTAACGGATATATAACCCCCGTGGGTTTCTTGATGCAAAGCTTGGGCTTAACAGCACAATTCATGATAGGTATTGATGATATTGATATTGAAATGAAATTTTATCTTGTTATTGATTATACGTTGCCTAGCACGTGACTTAAATCTACCCAGGCGGAGATCCAAAATGACGGTGGCAGGCTTGGCTTAGTTATATCACTCAAAACTCGTTCTCGTTTGTCTCATTTGATAAAGAGGGAATCGTTAATGTTTTCATTAAGACAGTATTGCCTTGATTTTCTAATATTTACAACGAAAGACAGTAAATTTCACTTTTCACCCACATTTACTTCCAACCTTTTCTTTTGAACCAGAAACATAAATGATAGACGTTTAAAACACATGACATCATCCACCTTGTCAAATGTAATAGCATGATCATTTCAATTGCAATGCCTTCTTATCCCAACGTTACTTTGTTTCTTTGCTACATTAGCGAACACTGAACTACTGCTCGTACTCTAGATATGACAATCAATCACAAAATTCCCTAAACCAGATAACATTAAACATAATCTAAAAAATCATGTGTCAATTCACGAGTTTGCTCACAGAGCACTTTGATTATTCATTCACCGTCGTTCAAAACATCGTTTAGAGAATACCGGCCGAGAAACGACATTGAATTTCAAAGAAATTGACATGTCCTTAGGCCTCAACTAGGAGCCGCTAGTCTAATAATTACCAGTTCCCTGGTTGACCCAATCGTTATCAATCACATCACTTCCCCGTGAATAACTGTGGCCACCGAACTCTTTATTGATGCATAAAACAAATAAAATTGTTACCAATTATCTTCTCTTGGTTGCCATAGTTGGCAGTTTACTGCCATATACCATCTGCCAACTCGAACTCCCTAGCTCTGGTTGATCTGGTTGGCACTTGTTTCCCTTGATAATTTGAATTGATAATACTCAACAATTCTTCTTTACTTGCATCCTAGATGAAGATTCGCCATGTGTGCGTTCTGATCGCATTAGTTCTCACATTGTCCATATTACAGACCGCAGACGCAAGACCGTCAAGAAGTTGCAGATGGTGTGTTAACAATTTTAGGCTTTGCTCAAATCTTTGCAAAACTGGTCTCTGCATAAGGGACTGTGATACATTCAAGTTTCAGTGCTACAGGAAGTGTGTAAAAAGAGACGAAACAATGCTCGATTCACTGGATGTCGAGGAAGTTGCAGATGTATTATCCTAATGTCACGCGAACAGAGTCGAAGACAAGGACAATTATGAGCAGGATAAGGGTATAAATACATAAATTGCTTGTTGAGTTAAATTCAAAACCATTGATCAGCAATTCCGGTCAATCTTTTAAAGTTGTTAAAAATACATTTGAACAAAGTGCAGAATGACTCAAACCTGTTTTCTTATTGTTGTTGTTGCTGCTATCCTACGGCTCAAACTTTCCCACTTTCCCTTTATTTGTAACTTACAGCACTTTGGCACTTTGCTTCCTTTCCCTACATTTAGGCAGTTCGGAAAGCCGTAAAACTCTAGAAAAATTCTTTCAAGTCGGCACTCTTAATTCCCAACGTAATTTATTCTTGTTTTCTCGTCACCATATTCCCACCAATAGCGTAGCTCCATTTTCTGCATTTTAACACACACACAACCCACGATTCCTCCAATCGCTACGAAAAAGGGCTAATGCTCGAAACGTCATCTTTTAAACTCTTTGTGATGGCCAATTTACGTTATCAAATCAGTTGATAATACTTAATTACCATGTAATACTGTCCCACCGACGCAGCACCACAGTTTCTTTAGTAACCTACCCCTTTATTCATAAGTTACAAAGTAATCTGTTTATCCCATAATTTCTCAAGCTTGAATATAAGGTTACAACCATTTTTTATTCGGTCCAGTGTGCACCGGTCAGAGCCCCATAAGTAGGACGGCGCGTTTTCTTATCTCTTACCGAGCCTGGATTACATTTTTAGGCAGAAAATATTCCCGTACACTGATCGACGAAACTCCCAAAGTGGCTGCGTGGTAAGATTACGTCCAAAATTAATGATCTCGATCGAGTGTGGAAAAGATGGTGTTTTGTTTCGTTCTTAAATTACGTTTGTCTCCGTAGCATAGTTCATTCTTGCTTTAAGATTACCCGTTATTTAGTCACGTGTTGGGTGAAAGGAGGGACCCTGTTGGCAGAGACGCAATTTACAAATTACAATAACGTTTTGTGGAATCACCTAACATCTGTTAACCAACTTTTGGTACTATTAAGAAGTTTGAAAAAACCTCTCAGTGGAAATTATGCAAAATTTGACTGTTATAACATTCAGAAGGAGAAAGACGCACCAGATGGCCTCGCTTGATCATTCGCCTCCTGAGTGTGCGAAGATGATCATTCATGAAACAGGTTATATTTCGTCTCTTGATGGCTGTATTTTTCCCAGTTTGATAGTTGTTTGTTCGCATGCCAGCTGGTTAGCTGGTTGCATCAACAGTCAAGTCTAGCAGAATAAAGAGATCTACGAAAGTTTTAGTGAGACTGATTAAATGCGTGTTGAATGCTGTAGAGCCCCTGTATTTAAATCAGAATAAAATAGTAAGAACCAGACCTCTGCTGCAACATGGCTTCCAAATCCAACAGCTTTGCGAGCTTGGCAGAATTTGGCTTCTGGTTATGCGCACATTTTAATTTTTGTCCACCTAATGTTTTGTCCACACTCCGCCAACTTCGTCCTGGGGGTTTTTCGGTCACTGTTTTTCCAAAATGGCTGCCAGTCTAGAGCTACTAGAGTTTCTTGGTCAGAATTTTTTTAAGATGGCGGCCGGTTTGTGGTAATCCCAACCTGGTCCCCAGTGATTTCTCGGTCAGTGGTCTTCAAGATAGCAGCCGGCTTAGTGAAATTTCTGGCACTCTGCAGATCACGTGATTGCTCGATTTAAGACAATATGGCGGCCAGTTTGTGGAAACCCCAACCTTGTCCTTAGCGGTTTCTCGTTCAATGGTTTTCAAGATAGCTGCCGGTCTACGGAAACTTCCTGCTTGCTTGCTGCAGATCACTTGATTGCTCGATTCAAGACAAAATGGTGGCCAAATAAAAGAATGGGAAGATCTGGGTACGAGAAAGCAAAGAAAGACAATGGGCTAACGATGACCTCTATATATAAAGCTAAGGAAGGAAACACTTCAACGAAACACTAACACAAAAGGAGAATTAATAGAAATTCGAGCAGCGGGGATACGTAACACTTGATAAGTTTTCTTAGTTTAAACTTGGTGAGAACGGAAAGAAACGATACTTAAATTTTCTAACTGCACAGTTTTCGATATCGTACCGGGCATCTCGAGTTGTTGCAATGAATTTTTCCTTATTTTCCATTCACCCTTTCCTCGATGAGATTTGAGAGTTGTTCCATTGCAACAGTTATTCGGACCTTGATTTGAGGGAATAGTTTAGGCAGCTGGTATGTTTTGGTTTAAGAGCATTCCCTACTCACTTATAAGGTGAATGTGTCAGCTGTTTGTTTGTAATTCTGTTCTGTTCTCGGAGTCGATTTAGAAAATAAAAACCACCACGAAAATAAACAAACTTTGCACATCGCGACCTGCATACACAAAATCGACTGATTGAAAACGGGTTGGTCTGAGAGCGAAAACGATAATGCCTTTTATTATGATGGATTTTCGGTCCACGAATGAGCAGTTAACAAGTGTTTTTTTAAAAGGCAAATATTACATAATGATTAAAATCAGATTTTGTTAACAATTTAAACACACTGAGTCAACAAGATTTCCATGCGAAAGTAACAGAAATAGAAATCAGGCTGAACATAATATTGCTGTAGATACAGATAAGGCATAACGTGAGGACTTGCTAGTTAGTTGATAGCTATCAATTTAGCTATCATTTAGCAAGTGATGAAAGTTTGTAATTATTAGTGAACAATTCTCTAGGCTTACTCTTAGAATGTTCCAACACGACGTATTCAAAGTAAGATGTTTCTTCATTCCATCAAGCCTCATTCGAAAACATGACATTGCTTTACTCTAAGACATCTTACACTGACAAACGTTGGGTTCATCTTTTTCCTAGCATTTGACTCAGTTCGTGATTTCAGTCTGCAAGGGTGATGCTAATCATAAAATTTTCTCGTTCGAAGAATTTACTATCATCTCCTTATCCTTTCGCGGATTTCACTGATTTGTAGTTAACTTTTTTGCAGTTTTAGTGTTCTATATGGGTGGTTGTCAGGAACAATTAACAAAAAGTAAATAACTAAGAAAGCTACTGAAACCTTAAACAACAAATCTGCGCCGGCTTTTACTCGTTCGTTTTGGATTTACTACTCCATGCCCGGTACTGCATTGATCTAAGGATCAAATTTCCTATCAAATAGCTCCTATAGTTCACAATTTCATTTAGGCGCGCTTGTATTTTGATAAGATATCTGTCATCTTATCAAGATCAAAGCCTTAATTAAATTACCTAACAATAAATACATAATAATATTACTGAAGTTTATTAAACTGTTGATAGGTGATTATTTTATTATCATATAAAAGTTTTCATGGCTATGAGCTTTGATTTTTCACACTTACCCTGTTCTCAAATTAAGGTTCATGAAAATTTACACTCTGCGAGGATCTTTCTCTTACAGATCTTTCTGAAACAGAGTTCAGTGATTGCTTTTAACAATGCAATTTATTGTACAGTTCAAACAGGAAGTTTTTGTTATCAAAAGTTGAATTCTGGTTATCATGCAAAGCAGAAAACACATGAAAGAGGCAAAAATTTCATTTCCTGCGTTATGAATGTTATTTTTGATCCACATTTCTGATTGGTAGAATACTTCATCTGAAATAGGCTAAACGGGTGCTTTCGTCAACTAAACAGATAACTTAATATCCTGTAGGAAAACTTCGGGCATAATATACTGAAATCAAAGATAACGCCGAACATGGCTAGAATCGGAACATTATCATACATTTTTTCCCCTAAAATCAAATCAAACCAGCACATCACGACCAAATTTTATATAATTCATTGATTACAGAAGAAATTCCCTTTATCCAAACCAGGGAGTAAGACAGTTCAGGTGAAGAAGAGAAAAGTTTTCCTACTTTCAATAATCGTTCCTTAGAAGCAATGAAACTCTCAGCAGTACGTATTTCCTCCAACCCACGTTTAAAGTATTCTTTGGTAGCAAGAAAATGAAATTTCTTTGTTTTGTTTTTTTTGACTGACACAAACAGATACATCATCATGTTTATATAGTTGCAGACTTTCTCTTACATAAAATAATAAAGTAATAATTACTTTACTTTACAAGAAAGCAACATCTTTATGACAGAATTCAAACAAAATGCAGAAAGATTTTTTAAATTTATACTCTTTTTAGACCAAGAAAATATTTCATGTTCTTAGTGCTTTATTTCAAGCGCACTAAGTATTTAATCGTAAATTCTGAAAGATCAGTCCTTGATGTTTGACCAGTCAACAATATATCCTATCGTTGATATTTACTTGCCTTGGTATTTGAGGTCCTTAGAGACTTTTTGAATGTTGTGATAATATTGAATGATAAATTATTTTTAATTTTCTCTTGCCTGATATTGACTGCAAAGTATGTGTACATGTTAATGAAACTAGTGTACATTAATGATCAGTATCATCTTTCCAAACTTTTTCAATGCCTCCTAGTGGCACGGAGGCATGAATCGTTGTTCAATTTCTTTCCAATGCATCATCTACCAAAACATTTCCACTTTCAGTGAGTCAAACTTGTACCCTACGTAGCCTATAACCTTTCCTGCTTCCCTCCAACGCAAACACAAATTATTCACATCTTATTGTCTTGAAAACCGTTATCTTTGAATGGCTCCGGCAAGACACAAGTCAGTCATCCGGTACAAAAACGGGATCTCATTTACTGTCTTATTTCGATCAAATCAACTAGTCATTTCGCTTTATCCATATCCACTTGGTTTGAATAACACTGAGAAAACTTAAGAAAAGCTAAGAATGTTGACACAACTGAAAAGAAAGGAACGAGTATTTTATCTGTTATTTTCATTTTAATTCGATTGATGAAATTGAACAAACAGTTGCCGCCGCAAACAAGTTACAAAGAACCCTTCAACACTATCACATACTAAATAACCTAACCCGGCGGACGTCAATAATCTCCATTTAAAAGTAAACAGATACTGCTTTCAACTTTTATTAATCGTGAACGCCCGCACCACCAGACCGGATGGCTATTTTAAAACGGTTATAAGGCGTAAGTGAATAACAGTCCAGCTTACAAACACCTAGAACTCCGGGTACAGTTTCAATAAGATAACCTACAAGCGTTCACCTCTTCAGACGATACTGGAAGGTAGGCTTCATTTCAACATGTA